AGTATGGTGATCTATGGAGAGCTTTGTAGCCCCCCCATCCCATTTTGTCTATCAATGCTTTAGAATTTTATATATTATTTTTGTAATATAAAATTAAAAATTAAAATTAAAATGTTAATTCAAATTAAGCTGGATACATTTCTTTAGTCTGTCTTTTATTTCTGTAGTACTTCAGAGTTTATAGAGTATGTTTATGTATACCACTTAATTCTTAAACTAACCCTATGTATCTTCATTTTATCAAAAAGGAAACGGAGGCAACAGATGATCAGGTAGCTGTGCCCAAGGTTGTTCAAATAGAAAACTGGCAGAGACATATTTCAAACCAACATCTTCTGAGTCCAAATTCAGTGAGCTATCAAAGATACGATCATTTCTTCCTTAATTTCAACAATTCCTCAGGAGTTACTTAAATAATCAGAATTGGCAGATGAACTAAAATTACATAGTATAAGGCCTCAGTCCCTCATGCTCATATAACCAGATCATACTGAAAGGAGAACATTGGCATACAACTCCAAAAACTGCAGAGTCAGAAGAGGACATGGATTTTCAGAATGTTCTTTAATGAAATACCTGACTGGCAAAATATATGTTCAATATGGCCTAATATGAACAAATAACAAAAGCAGTATCCTCTCAAGTTGGAAGATTCTCACTTTCAAGACAGCCTTTGCCTTTGCGCGCAGCACTGACTTCTGTTCAGGTTTTGCAACACCCCAGGGGTCTCCAATTGTAATTTCATATTATGAATAAGCCATACTTTTCAATGGGAGAGGATGATAATAACTTGGTTAGAGTATATTCTTTCTTTCCAAATGTCTCTCCTTCTTTCCTATAAGGCTATACAGATTATTTTACAATGTACATGGAGAGAGCATTGATAAATCAAGGTTTGGTAAAAATATATTTTAATTCATCTTTCCTCAAACTATGTCTCATATAATTCTGTTGCAAAAGATGTTTAGGTATGCTGTGGGCGTGGGGGCAGGGGTGGGAGGGGGAAGGAGGAGAAGCCAGGGTTAAATGCAATGTACCCCTTTTAGAGATCCACAGTTTACAGTGGACAATAATATAATAAAGGCTCTAGAGAAGTCTAGCATTACAGAAACCTTTGGTTAAACTAGTTTATTTTGACACAAAATTCTTCTACTATGACATAACTATTCACATTTTGTGTTCAGAACAACTGTTTGAATAAATATAACTATTAATTAAAACTCACAACAGATACAGCAAAAATGGATAGTTCTTAAATCTCCTACCACAAAATATGAATTCTTCAACAAGTCCCTAATTTCAGTCCAATGAACTCCTTCTTCTAGTTCAATTATCACCTCATTTAAGAAAATTTCTCCCCAGTGCTTCTTACATTACTAACTACTCCCTTTTCCTTATAACATTACCTTACTTATCACATGAAAAATCAGTCAGTCCATCCCTCTGTCTCCTTGCTAGTCTGTGAGCTCTGTGAGGATAAAGTTTGATTATATTTTGAACACCTTGAACAGTATAGGACACACATGAGCTACATGATGAAGTAAATAATTTCATTGCAGCATAACAATTCCACGAGTTCAACGCTTGTATTTCTAAACTATTACTGATACCCTGCCAACAACTGGAGAAAGTTTCTCCTGAAAATTTACATTCACAACTGAGTAGCTGTGGTCATAGTTAACTCAGTTCTGTTGCGATATGCTCTCTGGCCAAGTCCACACATAGTTTTTTCTTAGTGTTTGTTTGTTTAAAAAAAAAAATCTACGGGGAGTGTTCAGTACCCTTCATTATCTTTTTATCTCTCTGTGCCTTTGCACCTGCTGGTCCCTGCTTAGCATGCTGTCTCAAAATTTTATTCACTGGGAAGACATTCCGACTTACCCTTTAAGAACCAGCTTAAACAAAACCTCCTCTGGGAAGACTTCATATCTTCCCATCCTTTCAGGAAGAGTTAGGAATTCCTCAAGTCATATATTTGTGCATCTATTAACATATAACAGGCACTGTACTAAGTGCCAAGGACAGAAGAACGAATATATGGATCCTGCCTCATGGAGCTTAGTCTAGGAAGGAAGACAGCCATACGAACAAAATAACCACACAATAATATTAAATGCCATACCAAAAGAAAGATTTATGCAATATTGTGACATGTGTCAATTACTTTGTTAGGTGCTTTAGTGAACATTATCTATGACTGTGTGGTAAGTATTTGAATAGAACAGACGTTCAGGAAACTCTAAGGATAGATGTAGTCTCAATTGTATTCTGAAGAAACTATATCCAAGGGGTTCCTTTTGTATATACTATAGTCTGTGGGACAGATAATGCTTGAAACCAATCCTACTTTTTTGGCCACAAAAGACTGGACCAGGAGTCAGAACCCAATCTAAGGATAGGCTGAATTTGAAGGAGATCATTTAGGACACAGCTTGGCTCAAAAGGAAGTGTTCATGCACAGAGCAGAACAGAAATTTTCTGGAAGTCAGTATTGTAGAGGATGTAAAGTGGGAGGGGGCACACTAGGTTTCACCTTGGTCAAGTTACGCTATAATTCCAAACTGGATCTCTCCAATGAGCTCTAGATTGTTAGTTATCTGTCCTTCTTACTTGAATATAACATCTATAAGGGCAGGAGCTTAATCTCTAATTTGTTCGCCACAGTCTGGAACTGACCCTGACTTATAGTAAGTGCTTAATTATAAAACTGTTGAATAAATGAGTAACTGAATGAACTCTAAAAGAAGCTAAAGAATCCACAGTGGATGAAGGGGTGGAGGGAGTACCAGAATATAGACTCCAGGGATCATTTACAAGTACAGTTGATCATTATTATTTGTGGATTCTGTATTTAAGAATTTGCCTACTTGTTAAAATTTATTTGCAATCCTAAAATCAATACTCATGGTACTTGTGCAGTCATTCGCAGACATGCACAGAACAGCAAAAATTTTGAGTCACCCCTCACATTTCCAGCTAAAGTAGAACAAAGCAGTTGTTCTCTGCTTTCTTTCGGCTCTCATACAGAGATGACTAAAGGACACAAACGGTAGGGGGCAGTGCAGTGTAGTGCAAGAAGCTTTGCCACTGGAGCCAGTAAGAAAGGGTTTGAATCCTAACTCCCACACCTATTAGGCGGCAGCCTCATACAAGTCACTTAACACTTCTGAACCTCATTTTCTCTTTTGTAAAAATAAAAAAACCAGAATCTACTAAGATGAGTTGTATTTAGTATTTAAGTGATAATCTATGTGACGCATGCATATGTATATGAACATATGTTCCCTGCGAGTGATGGCTCTGTATTTGCTAATTTGGTGGTCTAGGTGACTTTATAGAGCATAATTACTGCGAATAATGAGAATCAAATGTAATTATTTATAACAAAATAACAGAAATATATAGAAAAGAATTAATTATCTGGATAAAGTGGAGTCCAGTAGCAAGCTTCAAGACTTTGAAATGGGACCTCACCGGGCACACATGCTGTGGAAGAGAACAACACCTATGGAGGGAAGCCAAAGTGTGTGAAATAAATAGGTAGGTTCAGGGAAATGGCCCTTCAGAAAGTCTAAAACAGTAGGAGATGTGGCAGGGTTCTGACAGGAGGTCACACAGCTTCTCTGGGCCCTGTTCACATCCTGAACGTCAGAACCTCTCCACCTGCAATTTAATTCTTTGTTTACAGATCTTCTTTCCATTAAACTGTGGGCTCCTTAAAGGCAAGATCTCTAGGAAGAAATCAAAACTATAGTCCTTTAAATTTGCAAACAAGTAATTAAAAGTACAAATCCACATGAAAAGAACATACAAAAATAACTTTGGATTCCAACTGCAGCCTTATACCAACTCACAACAGTGACGCACTCACAGATTTGCTATTTGTCCAGGACTTTTCTTTTTGACTGCTAATAATTCTGTCATAAATTCTTTTTACTGTTCTAAACACCTGGGCATTTATTGGAACTTTAAGATCTTCCTCTTTTTAGTATGATTTATTAATAGAGCTCAAGCATATGGTCCATTAGACAATGTTGCCTACTCATAGCAAAGATTCCTTTTAATTCACTCTACTAGACTTACTACTCAATATACAAGATACAGTCTTACCATACAGGGAAGCATATTGATATATATTTACAAATAGAGTAAGAAAAACAGTACCAATTTTTTCACAGAAGCTTGCAAAATTCTGGCCAAAATAGCATGCACATGATATTAAATTCACTGCTTACAATTCACCACTCAGAACTAGGAAAAACAATTCCAATTTATGTTAAATCATGAAACTAAGCACTGTAATACATGTATTTTCTCTCTTCTACGTGCACTCTCATATACACGCAGCCTAATGGGCCCATCAGGCTTATCCCAATCCTTCAATTTCCCCCATTCCCCAAAAACAAAGCCCTCAGTTAACAAAACCTTCCAACACGTAGGTTGATATTTTTAAAAGTCTCTAAAGTCTCAATCAAATCTTAGTATGGCAAATTACTTTTTCCCCATCAAATTCTTGGTATAATTTTATTTAGGCACAACGTAGTTTGCACTATTATCTAGAACATATGGCTAAAATCAACACTATTGAAATCCAGACTGATATAACTATGAAGGTGAATACAAATTCTCTGTGAAAGAGGAATAGAGAATGTCATTTTAAAACAGTTTCAGTACTATATTATCCATAGGCTGGGTGTGATCAAATCACATTGTGCCATACAGATAAAGTATGTTCTATACTTTATGACAAACTAGAGTGGTCAGGCCCTCACACTGCAAATTCTCTGACACTCCAGTTAAGCTGTTTAAAATGTCATTCAATTCTACCTACTTAAAAATAATAATGCATGTTAAATTTCTTGCTGCCGGTAAATCCTTCTCAACTGCATTTTCAGAAATTATCACCAAAACAACTGTACTGAGACAAAGTAATGACCCAATGCCATTTTAAGGAAGACAAGAATGGTTTGCCATTTACAAAACCTATTAAAGTTTCCAACCTTGTAAAGCTCCTTGTGCAGTGTAGTCTGCCTCTCTGGTGTTCACCTTCCAGCTGCCTGGAAGGGGCAAGCGGAAAATGTTAGTTTCCATGAGGGATGAGCATGAAATGTTGGGGGTGGGAGGAGGGTAAAGGACTCACTCGCGTTAGGGAAGGAAGAAGAGACATGGCCAAGGTCCCTAACTCAAATTAGGTATCAAGAATGAGGGCTGGAGTAAAGAGAGTGGAGGAAGGAACAGAAGAAACGCAAAAAAACCGCACAGGAAGGAGGGGATGGTCGGGAATGGGGGAGGGGCAAAAATGCGCAACCGCGGGAAAGGGGATCGGGAGATGCAGCGCTGGTTAATTTGCCTAGCAGTGTTGCACTGAGGGAGTAAAGGGACTTCCATGCCAGAGATTTCAGTCCGACTGTTAGAAGGGGGTTGGGGGTCGAAAGGGAGCTAGGGAATTTGGGAGGTGGGAGATGAATAGCGCGCCTTTGAGGGAAGAAAAAGACTAAAGCCCCGCGCTTCCAAGGGCGAAAGGGGAACCTCAGCTGGCGCGACGTGGGACCCGCCGGCTTACCCTCCCCACTGGAGCTCGTGCGGGCGCGCACCGCCCCTCATAGCCCCGAAGGTGGCGGAAAGGGAGGCGCGGGGCTACCCCTAAACCCGGGGAGCGGCGCTTCCCGCGGGTCCCTTCCCCGCGACCGGGGCGCCTTCGCCCACCTGGGCTGACTTGAAGCCTCTCCTTCAGACCCTACCCCGCCGCTCTTTTGAGAGCCTCAGCTGTCTCCGTACAGGTCGTCGTCGCCAGAACAGTCTCGGCCTCCAGTACCAAAGCGTGAGCCTCAGCGCGGAGAAGCACTCGCCAGGTTGCCTCTTTCAGCTCACTGACTCCTCACCCCACCCCCGAACCCAAGCCATTGGTTGCTGGGCACCGCCCTATTCGTCTATTGGACTGAAGAGGATGCCGCTCAGTCACCTATAAGGGCACGGGTGGTGCTTATTGGCTTAAATGTGAACTAGTTACCGCCCACTCCTTCACAAGTCCCAGCTTCTGATTGGTATTAACATCTGTCTCTTCTCTCCCTTCGTTCTTTCCCTCCAGGTGGGGGCGCCTCCTTGCGGGAGATCTGGCTCTTATTGGCTGAAAGGACGCTATGCTAGTCCTGGACAGGCAGTGGGCCAAGGCGTTGGGCGTCTGGATAGGAGGAGCCCAAGGCACAGCACCTCTGCGTTTGTTTACACAGGTTCTTATTCCCGCTTCATTCCATTGGTTGATCCAGCAGCCCCTCCCACGGGTCGCGCCACTCAGTAGAACAAGGAGAGAGGTGTGTGTGTAGAGGTGGGGGTGGGGGGGCTGTTTGTTTAGTGGGATTTCCCCCACCTATCAGTTAACCAAGGGAAGAGCTTTGAGCAAGGCTGGCAAGGACACTGGTGAAATTGGAGTTGGGCTCCTTGTAGGGGCTGGAAGGAAGCAGAGCGACTATTACACGGTTCCAGAAACAAATCTAACTTCTCAAGTGTGTTTAAAAACATAAACATTTATTTTCCCCTTGGATTTAGGATGTATAATCTTTGCCCGCTAAGAACTTCGAATTTATTCCTCAGGAAGTGAGGACTTCTTCATGGAAGTCTTTCTTTATACACTTCTCATGCTAACTATATACGTAACACAAAGTAGAGGCTTAGAAAGTGATTGCACAATGAGTGGATAAATGATACAAATGAAAACGACAGTTAATGTCAGATTAAATAACAGTGAAATAAACATTAAATATACACTTTATATAATTAAATACATAAATCATTAGATAAATTCATTCATTCAACAAATATTACTGAGTGTATGCCCTGAATTTATGCTCTGAGTATATGATATGAACAAGACAATGAAGATGCGCTCATGGTGCATATTCTTTAGTAGAGGGACTGACAACAAGTAACCAATAAATAGTAAAATGTTGTGTGATTAAATGCTACAAAGAAAAATAAAGCAAGGTTAAGGAATGTTTGAGGAAATGGCTGTTTCGGGTAGAACGATTACTTTAAAAACTGTTTGAGGAAGGAGCCCTGAACAGAGACATGAATAATGGGAATTGAAGAGTGGGAAGGAGGTTGGTAGGCAGGGCCAGTACATTGCACAACACCAGGATCACTATATTTCCAACTTGTATTTTTAGGTATAGGTCCTCTCAGGATTGACTACTATTGTTTTAAGCTTTCTCTGGTTAAATAATTTAAATGGGTCCTACAAGAAACACATCTCTTTTGGGAAAAACAAAATCTGTCTCCAAGGTAACTTCCCCATACCCTCCACTACTTCTTTTCCTAGGGTGGTCCTCATGTGTATGGTGTGATAGAAGCTTACATTATCTCATAGTTTTGAAAAACGGGGTCTTCTGGTCCATATAGTATCCTTGCACAACCAGAAATACTCTTCAAGGATGATTTATTACCAGGATAGCAATGAGATGTTGGTCAGCTCCTGTTGCTTTCCTCTTTACTACTGATGCTGTCTCTCATAAATTCATTACTAGATATAACCGATGATAAAGAGAAAACCTTAAAAGTAGAGTGAGAGCAAAGGTACAGTACATGGCGCGGGGGGGGGGGGGGGGGGAGAGAATGGTAAGAAATACAGCAGACTTCTTTTTAGGAACTATGGAAGCAAAAAAAAAAAAGACAGAAGTAGCCATGTGGATATTTAGTAGCAGTATTCAGAATAAATAAGAGTCCAAAGGGACAAATAGGAAACAACAATCATCTTGAAGTTATAGGGGATAGTATTAGCTGGGGAGAGGGAGACAAAAGGAGTTCACCAACCCTTCCCCACATCCTATTGCTGTCATGATGATAAATCTTCATCCTTGAAGAGTATCTTTTCAATTTTTATTGTTGTAAAATACACATAGTATATATTTTACTACTTTTACCAGTTTTAGGTATGCAGTTCATTATAGTACATAAGGACATTCACATTGTTATGCAACCATCACTATACCCATCTCCAGAGCATTTGTATCACCCCAAATTAAAATTCTGTACTCATTAAATGATAACTCTCTATACCCTTTTACCCTATTATTTGGAAATCACTATTTTACTTTCTGTCTCTATGAATTTGACTACTATAGGTTCCTCATAGCAGAATTATATAACATTTGTCTTTTGTGTCTGGTTTATTTCACTAGATATGATGTCTTTAAGATTTGTCCATGTTGTAGCATGTATCATAATTTCATTTTCTTTTAAAGCTGAATAATTTTCCATACTATTTATGTATACTGAATAGTGTATACATATGTATATACCACCTTTTGTTTAACCATTCATCTGTCCATGGAATTTAACTATTGAAATTAATGATGCTATGAACATTGGCATACAAATATCTGTTCAAGTCCCTGCTTTTATTTTTTTATTATTATTTTTTAATCTTCACCCAAGGATATTTTTATTGGTTTGAGAGAGAGAGAGAAAAAAACATCGATGTGAGAGAAAAGAAACATCTACTGGTTGCCTCCTGTATACGCCCCAGCTGGTGTTCGAACCCAAAACCTAAGTATATGCCCTGAACTGGGGCACATACCTTGCATGCCCCAATGGAGGGGATCAAACCCACATCTTTTGGTGTACAGGATGACACCCCAGCCAACCAAGCCACCTGGCCAGGGCTCAGTCCCTGCTTTTAGTTCTTCTAGGTATGTATCCAAAAGCAGAATTGCTGTATCATGTGGTAATTCCATGTTTAACGTTTTGGGGATCTGCCATACTCTTTTACACAGCAGCTGTACATTTTACATTCCTGTCAAAAGTACAGAAGTGTTCCCAATTTTTTCACATCTTCACCAACTCTTGTTATTTTCCTTTTTTTTTTTTTTTTTTATTAAAAGCTATTCTTGGGTGTGAAGTGGTTATCTCATTGTGGTTTTAGTTTGCATTGTCCTAGTTACTAGTGATGTTGAGTGTCTTTTCATGTGCCTAACACACATTTGTACATATTCTTCAAAGAAATGCCTATACAGTCCTTTGCACATTTTTAAATCAGGTTGTTTTTTGGGTTTTTTTGGGTTTGTTTTTTTTTAGTTTTAAGAGTTCTGTGTATATTCTGGATATTAATCCTTAGTCAGATGTATTATTTACAAATATTTCATCCATTTTTGATACTCAAAGAGTATTTATGATTGTGCAAGTTCTGGATGACCAAATGGCTAATTAAAAAACAGGGATTTGAAAATTGGTAGTTAAAGGTTTCTGGTAAAGATGGCAAATTAGGTAAACATGGCTAGCCTCCTTGCACAACCACATCAAAATTACAGCTAAAATATAGAACTACCATCAGTCAGAAATCAAGTTGAATGGAAGTCTGACAACTATGGAATTAAAGGAATCACGTCCATCCAGACTGGTCAGAGTGGGCAGAGACACAGAACAGGCTGGTCCCACATCCACGTGTGATGGATAAAAATTGGGAGGGCTGTCTTGGGAGTAAATAGTCAAAGCCCCACACCAGGCCCCCCAGTCCAGGGTTCCAGTGCTACGAAGGTAAGTCTGCATAACTTCTGGCTGCAAAAACCTGTGGGGATTTAGCTGGTGGAAGAAACTTCTGGAGTCTCAAGTCATTCCCCTTAAAGAATCCACACACAGATGTACTCAGACTCACTCCCTCTTAGCTCCAGCACCAGGATAACAGCTTGAAAGTTACCAATGGCACACAGGGGGAACTGAAGTGTCTGGCATCAAGGCAGAACCTTAGGGACAGTTTTCTCCCAGACAGAAAGGCAGACAGGGGCCATAGTCCCTTTGCTGAGCCCTTCCCCAACAAAGCCACAGAACCAGCGGGTGGGTGCCATATCTGAGACCCCATCGACCTGGCTAAAACTGTTGCCCCACCATGGAGATCACTGAGACTCTGTCCCACCCAATTTATGGGCCTACACACTATAAACTGTGACTTTTCCATATGAATGACTGGTCTTGGCTTATGCTTCATAACTTCCTAAATCCTCTCAAACAAGCAATAGCTTGTCTCAGTGAGACCCCAGACCCATACCTCTTGCTAAGTGATCCAGTCCTAGCACTAGCAGCAGCCAGCATAGATTCACAGTTTGGCTTCATCTGGCAATCTCCAAGTCCAGCAAAACTAGCAGCCATTTCAGATTGCTTTAGAGCTCTGGCAGTGTGGCCCTGAGAAAAACACAGGTTGGGGAGGACCTTGGCCTGCATCAACCGGGAAATCCAAGAGCCTGCACAATAAGTGGACAGCTGCAGACCATGTCAGAGCACCACCACCCAGCCACTGCACAGCTGATCCTCCTTGGAGGACAGAGGTTTGTGGTCAGCGTTCACATCCAGTCCCTGAGGCTGACTGTCCTGGATAAGTCCCTCCCATTGACCTACTGATAGCAATCAAGGCTCAACTACAAGAGGAGGGTGTACTCAACCCATACAAAGGGCACTCCTCTAGTACCCAGCTTGGGTGATAGGGGAGGCTGTGCAACTACACTACAGGACATCTACTACAATAGGCCACACTACTAAGGCTGGGAGTCACAGCAGCTCTACCTAATACATAGAAACAAACACAGGGAGGCTGCCAAAATGAGGAGACAAAGAAACATGGCCCAAATGAAAGAATAGATCAAAACTCCAGAAAAAAAAGAAAACTAAACTAAATGGAGATAAGTAATCTATCAGATACAGAGATCAAAACACTGGATATAAGGATGCTCAATGAACATAGTGAGGTCCTCAACAGCATAAAATAGATCCAGTCAAAAACAAAGGATACACTAATTGAAATAAAGAAGAATTTACAGGGAAACAAGAGAAGAGTGGATGGAGCCCAGAATGAAATCAATGATTTGGAACATAAGGAAGTAAAAAAGC